AAGCGGATGAAAATGGATGGATGGATGGATCTGGTTAAAAATCTCACAAATTTGGAAACATTGAGAATGACTTGAAATATGTTAATTCTAAAAAATTCTGGAAAATGAATCATTAGATAAACATATTTCAAACTCCTGATAGTAAGTTATTGTTGTGTGTAAGCATGTGGACTTTACAACCCAAATCAACAGTTTTTGCCATCTTAAACCCGTTTAGACTGACTTTCAAAGCTGCTGGAAGAGATCACTCGTTAATTTGACACAAACAGATTTAGCCTGAACAGAACACATCACCCAGATTAGTCATTCAGGATGGAGAATGCCTCATCATCCAACAGCAGCAGTTTGTGATTTTTGTTTCTCTTCTTGTTTGATGCATCTGAAACAGTCAACAGCTGGCGATGCGTTCGCTGCTTTATGGACATCCAGCTGTTAGGATATTTTGCAGCTGTTCCTGCAGCTTTGCACTGTTGGGCTCAGAGGATGCGGCTGGATCAGTTTGGGCTTTTTCAGCAGTGTTCCTTTGGTTCTCCTGGCAGCATTGTGGAGCGCGGTGGCAGTGACAGAGTAGGAGCGTCCGTGCATCATGCGAGCGTTGAGGCCGTTGGCCATGGAGAAAGATTTGAGGTGGGATTTTAGAGTGAGTGGAAGGGGAAGCTTGTCCACCAGGTGAACAGGTGTGCAGGAGACGATGGACCGACAGCAAAGATCCTGCAGACTCAACACTGACAGAGAGAGCAGAACTCGTCATTGATCACAGTGATGGGTGTAAATACCGGTTTAATCTCAAACAAATGGTTAATAAAGACAAGACATTATAAAAACAGTTTGGCAGCTGATTCACGGATTCTCCTGAGGAACCAGCTCGAGTTTTATGAAGGCGTGTTCTTCAGGTGTGAACCCTGGGTGGGCAGGGCTACCTTCTTACCTTTGTTGGGCTTCCATAGATGCTCCATGCCGTGCCTCATCAGGACAATCCGGGCGAGTTCTGTGAATGACTCGGTGATGTTGAAGTTACAAAGCGGACTGACCTCGAAGAAAGTGACACCCAGCTTCTCTGCATACACCTGAGCCTGCTCTGTGATCACCTGACGCTTGTAGGCCAGGTGAAGGCGGTTCCCGACCAGAATCTTAGGAACTCCTGGAGCATGCTGGGTAAACAGGAAGGAGACGGGCATCATGTGTAAGCAATATTCCGGAGCCAGGGCAATAAACTCGCTCGTAAGTGTGGATTTTTGTGAATTAACGGGCTAATTCAGACCAACCTCATTGATCTCTTTGATCCATCTGCCGATTCCATCAAAGGACCAGCGGTTGGTGATGTCATAGACCAGGATCACTCCCTGTGGAGCACAAACACACAAATGAATCGGTTCAGCAGTTTAAATCAAAACTTAAATGAAGATAAAGATTCAGCCACATGTTTCTTTCCAGTTTTTCTGATTTACAGGAAATCCAATAAAGAGATGAATGTTTTCATCGTGTTGTTTGCTTTGTGACATTCCTATCATGTTTTAACGAATAAATAAAACTGCAAACACAGAAATAAAACTGCTCTATTGCTCATGACTCGTCTGCTTTCCAACCAGGAGTTTCTTATTAAATAACTGACAAGATTTCTGCCAAAGCGCTTAAATAACGAACGTAAAGAAAAGGTCTTTTTTACCTTGATAACCATCTACAGTCAAACACATTTCTGATCCCACTCTGTTTGTTTGCTGCTGCTAGGCTTTGGGTCAATTTGAGTGAAAATGATTCCAATGCATTGATAAATGACACATCCTAGACAGCTAAAGTTTGAGTTCTGCCAAATATTTCTAAGAAAAATAATTATTTTGAAATGTATGAGATACCGAGCACAAAGGGAAGAACAATAATAGCACACAACAGAATAATATTTGTTCCTATTGAGTCAAACTTCCATGGGTGATTTAATTGAAACCTGCTAATCTGAGTTGAACCATCACACATGTAAATGTTTATTTGCGTTGATTTTTTTATTGTAATTCAGATTTTTTTCTAAACAGATCAGTCAGAAAGACAAAAACAGCCAAAATCAGAAAAAGGTTCAAATGTTTATTTGATGTCTGGTTTGCTCAGCTTGACTCCACGAAGTCTAACTCAGGAGCAGCTTTTAGCATCGCCATGACAACATTGCCTCAGTTTCTATGGTAACACCACCTCCGCTGCTCTGGTAACATCGTCTCTATTGCTCTGCTAATGTGCCTCTGGTTTGTACGCTAACTCCACCGCAGCACCCACTACTAGCCTGTGAAAGGATGGTGACTCTGATTCTGCTGCTGAACCGCTAGAAGTTCTGACAGTTACAATACGGGTCGGCATTCTGTTCAGCACTGGACTCTGAGGAGAGTGGAGGAAAATAGTGTGAAGACAACTTCCTGTTTGCTTCATCATGGTGAAGGGCTTCAGGCAAAAGAAACACAAAACAAATGTGAAGTAAAAACACACAGATGTTTGATTCTGACGACTTCCAGTTCATTTGAACCTGCTAGGAGCATTTCTGCTCCTGCTGCTGAAAAACCGATTAAAGCGAGAAACAAAACACAGCAGAGGACCTGCGAAGAGGTCAAAGGGCAGGAGGGAGATGATAACTGGGACCCCCAGATCAGACTTGGGTCAAAGTTTAAATTTAGCTTTAAAAGAACTTGGTATCAGTAACAGCGACGTCAGTGCAGATGGGTGCTCTCATGGTACTTGATTTGGTTCTGTGATCAACAGTAATATTTTATTCCACACGTCTCCCACGAAGGTAACAGAATCAGAGCTTCAGCTTCTAATTTTAAATAATGAGCACACACACCTACCCTCTCCAATCTGCAGCTTGCTTATCTTTCGGGGTTGAAGCTGATCCGCTTTAACAAACCCACAGTCGTCTGAATAAAGAAGGCAGCGCTGCGAGGATTTATCCAACACCATCCAGCCTGAATGGTTTTAGGTAAAAATTTCCAGAAGACTCAGGTGGATGCCTCCACAAGCTCCTGGATTGTGAGGGCTGTGGGTCTGACCAGGTGCTCCAGAGATGATGTCAAATACTTTTCCATCTTAGAAGAAGGACTGGATGTTGTGGAAGACTGTAAAATATTTAGTGTTCACCTGGACATCAGACTGGAGACACAACTGTGGAGCTGTTTACAAGAAGAGACAGGGAAGACTGGACTACTTGAGGGAGCTGAGGTCCTAGCAGCAGGATGTTCCATTTCTTCAATTGGTTGAGGAGACAATCTGATCTGCTGTCCTCATTTGGGACAGCAGCATCAGACCCAGTGGTTGTTGAAGATGGAACAACCAAATAAAGGCCGGTTCTGTTCTGGGGATGGCTCTGGAGCCTCTAGAGCTGATTGGACAACGGGGACAACCCTGATCATCAGGAGTTTTCATCAGATCTGCTGAAACTGAAGATCCTTCCTGCTCACAGCTAAAACCACACACAATGATGGTTTATGTGAACTTCAATATAAGTACATTTAGGTCACCTTTAGGAATAATAAAGCATTTTTTTAGTTCAATCGCAAAGTTTTATTCATGAATTTAATCCATAAACTACAAATGATAACTTTCTGTTTCTGATTTCCTGTTAAACCTTTATTTTTGTTACCTGTGCACCCCTGGAATAAGACCTGAAGATGGTGCAGAACCGACCCTGTCCGGACGTGTCCCTGAAACAAACAGGTCAGATCTCAGCTTCACCAAAAAAAGGATTTTGTCTTTAAGAACAATCCCTTCCCCACCAGAACAAACACAGAGACATAACAGATGAGAAATGGGCCTGCAGAATGATTCAGAACTGAAGTGCAGAACTCTATTTTAGGACTCAGTCAGACTGTGTTTTGTCAGCTGCAGAGACACCAGAACTAGAAGCATCTAGATGCAACAGATTAAATCTGTTTAATCTGACTTTGGCCCTAGCCTGAGTTTAATTTAACTTGGTCAGTTGGACCAAAATCGACACGTAAACGGCCTCAAAAAAACACACACACAGCAGCCGATCCAGAACCCTGTTGGTCCAAACATGGATCCCATCAGTTCTTCTGTTTCAGATACGGGCTTCTCAGTGGATCCTGCCAGACCAGAGAAGGTTTAGATGTTGGTTTTCAGGAGGTCAGGTAGAAGCAGAACTGAGTCCAAACCATCAGCGCTACAGGAGCTCATGTCCGAACCAAAACCAGAAGAAAAACACTGAGCATCTCACTGGCTTCAACATCAAACCTTCTGATTTGAGACTCTAAAAGTTCCTCATAAGATCAGAACCAAATGAGGCTTGACAGATTTTCACACATACGGACGAATCAGCAAGTTTTGATTAGCTGTTTCTCAGGTGATGTTAAAACCTGTTTATTACCTTTTATATGACCCCAACAGAACCACAGGGTCCATTTCTGTCAACAAAGCTTTGGAGTTCTGATCCATTTAATCATGTTTCCACTATGAGATGGCCAAGCCCACATGGATCCCAGAGAGGCTGACGCTGCATCTGGACCGGGTCAACCCCAGGTTTTTATTTCTGCTCAGCTGAGTTTGTGAATGTAACTGTTGTAAAACCAAATGAGCTCGGGCCGTGGGGTTCTGTCAGCTGGTTACGCAGCATGGTTCTGGATGCGATCTGAAGGATCAGAGATCACACCTGTCCCGCCCAGTCCAAGCTGTTCCCCTGAAGGCGCTGATGGATGAAAGTCTTTCCTGCTGCTGTCAAACTGTTGGATTAACTTGTTTTAATCTTCCTAACATTAAACTGAAACAACGAAGGGTTTACATCAAAGGATTTAGTAAATGATTTTGTCATTAGAAATAGATATTTTAAATACCTGCAGATTTAAACAGTGGAAGCACGGTTTGTTACTTTGCAGCAAGGAGGTTGCAGGTTTAAATCCCAGCTCTGACCATTCTGTGTGGAGTTAGCATGTGAGGGATTTCTCAGGCTGCTCTGGTTTCCTCCCACAGACCCAAACATGCATGATATGCCTGGGGACTCTGTAATGTTCCTGGCTGTGAGTGAGTGAGTGAGTGAGTGAGTGAGTGAGTGAGTGAGTGAGTGAGTGAGTGAGTGAGTGAGTGAATGGTTGTCCAGAGTGTCCCCCGTCTCTGGCCCGGTGACTGCACCAGCTCCCTGTAACCCTACTGAGGAATGAGTGGGTTATAGATGATGATGCTATAGTTTATTTTTCTCATTTTCAGAAAATGTTTTTATTTTGTTTCTGAAAGATGAGCTGAAAAGTCTTCTCTGTTCCTCTGAAAGTTTCTGAAAAATTAAATGGAACTAATCTGTTTGCATGATTCTTCAGAATCGCTGCAGAAGAAACTCAAACTCGACGTCTGATGAATAAATCTTCCTGCAGTAGTCGTCTGCTGCCAGTATGAAACTGAATCACCTGAAAATGATCTTTATTAACTTGGAGCAGCCTCACACGCTTCCTGTTTGGACTGGGTCCAGAACCTCCCCTGCTGTTACACGACCAGCCCCTCTGCTGCCGCTGATCACACGCTGTGGTGACAGCAGCTTGAGTGTGTTTTCATACCAGAGCTGCAGCTTGACTCGTCTCCCGTCCAGCAGGATGGTCGTCGTCTTATAATCGATGCCTGAAACACAGACGGACCAAATAAATCCTCCTCTGGGTTCTCGTCCAACAGCATGGCAACAAAACCAAAAATAAAAAATATTTCTCAGCGCAAAAAGGGAAAATTCTGAAGTTTATATAATGGACATCCTGAGGACGTGTGATTTAAACCCACACGTGTGTTTCTCCTGTGTTGGATTGGGACCCAACAAAAGGAATGAGTCACCTTTATAAACAGCATCGTCACTTAATTCAACACGCGTGCACACACACAAACGCACGCGCACGCACACACACGTGAAGCTGTTTATTCCGGGTCCAGCTCAAAACCTGACGAGCATTTTTAGTTACAGATTATGAGTTAAAACATTAAACTGTTTGTGGTTTTTCAAGCAAACAGGGTACTAAAGTCCTCCCTGTGTGGTTGCGGTTCTGCAGCTTTTCTCTGGACTTGGCTGAAGCCTATCTGGAGCCCCTTCAGGACCAGAGAGCCAGAACCACAACTATGTGTCTGTCTGCCATCGTGACCCAGAAGCAGCAGATCAGAGCTGAGACCTTCCAGTTTTCCACCATCAGAGTTTAGTCACAGGGCTGCTTACGTACAGTAACTAGAGTTGTTACTGGGACATTCTGCTTTAAGAAAGTGTTTTTCTCAGACTCTGTCTGTGTTCTTCCTGCAGCAGGAAGACTGGGTTTTTACTAATGTCTCCATCAGTGAGGTGTACATTATTTAGGAGATGCAATATTAGTTCTGTTGGCTATAAAACTGATTTCTGCGGTTTGAACTCTGATTTCAGACTGAGACCAGATGTCACCATCATGCTGTCCTTCATCCTTTCACCTCTAACCTCCTCACCTTTGACCTCCACATGGCGGCAGGCTAAGACAAGTTTTAAAGATTACACGAAAGTCTGGCTGCACTGATCTGCATCCATCATTCTATCAGGTGCGCTGACCCTGTGACCCCCCACCCTGCAGTCACTCACCCAGGTCGTAGCCATACGGGGACTCTGAGGCTCCATCCTGAAGGCTCTCCAGGATCTCCCCCTTCCCAACGTCACTATCACCCACCAGGAGGAATTTGAGCAGGAAGTCGTAGGCTCTGACTGGACTGGTTCTGAGGCTCATCATATCAGCTGATCACAGCCTCGGAATCCCATTATCACAAGCTGCTCCTCTTCCTCCCCACTAGAGGAAGAGGAGTAAATAATGACGCTCCTCGGTTACACACCAGACGCGGTCCAGTCAGTACTCCATCTCTCACGCATCAGTGAAGGCGGTACCGTTCATCCTTGACTCCCGGAGTGGAGAAGCAGCTGGCAGAGCTCCTCACTCTGTCCCGCCTCCCTGTTTCAGGGGAGGAGTGAGGATGGGAGGGGCTGTATCCCTCATTCTGATTGGATCATCGGTTGAGTTGCTAAGGCTATCCCGAGCTCTGATTGGAGCTTAGAGGTGTCAATCAAACCAGAGGGACACACATGATTGGCCTTTATGAGTGGTTATGTTTTTAAGATGTTGTTTAGCCTTTCAAAGTAAAAGCATTAGACGAAGCAGAAGTTGAGCGTGGCACTTGACTTTCCATGAGATGGTTGATTTTTTTTCTGATGAATTCAATTAAATAAATTATTTCTGTACAGATAAAGAAAAACACAGCAAATAGTCAGTTATTGGAGCCGAGAAAGTGGGCCAAATAGGAAAAAATTACTTTATCATCAAATAAGTCATAAAACAGTAGTTAGGCTGTAGAAATGCATCGTTTGCATCAGAGACTGCTCAAATAATAAGTGTCAAATATATGTTAGGAAAAAAAAGTATTGACTTCAATATGTATATATTGTCTCTTCTTGTTCGTAAACCATGTCTATGAAGACCTGCATAAAAAACAAACAGAAAATTTAGAATGAAAACAAATAATGCATTTTTCTTTTTGTTTTCCTACAGAAAGATTTACTCAGTCGGTGAGAGCTGATTGTGCTGCCAGTCACTGGCAGATAAAAGCCTCGGTTTTGGTGCAGCTTCTACTAAACTAATGCAGAAAACCATCCACATGGACCCTTGTACATTATTAAAATTTATTTGTCATAATCTTTAAATAACAATTTATTTGCAATTTCAGTGCAACATTACACAAACACGTCGATGTTGTTTAAACCTACACGTTCATCAGAAACAAGAAAACAAATAAGCCGATGCATTTTCAATGAGGATCTGCAGGAAAAGACCTTTTTAGAGTTCATTCAACTGCGTTTGAATATTCATCAGAAACTCCAGAAGCCTCCAACAACCCGCAGCTTCAAGTCTTCACTACAAACATATCAGCTTGAAATTCAGATGTCGTCTCATGTTTCCAATCAGTCATCATTAGAACAGTTTTTATACTGCATAAAAAGAAAATTATGTTTGGTAAAACATAAAAATCAACCCTCCTTTTTTAGTTCAGTTTAGATCATTTTTACTCACCAAGCTCCTAAATTCAAGTAAGAACATTTTCACTTTTGTTTCTGAAATCAAACTCCTGACAGCACATGGAGCTGGAACCCTGTTCTCATGTCAGTGTTCCTCCCGTTTAAGTTTCAGAAAGTTTCCACTTGTAGAGGAAAACGACAGCATCGTGACACGGTTTCCTCCCATTCCTCCTCCTAACTCTGAGGTGAGACTGGGTCAGTTGTAACTGTATCCAGGAAGAGGAAGTTTCTGACCGTCTTTGGCCTCAAAGAAGGTGTAGGAAAGCGTGATGGTGTCAACTCGCGCCATTCTGGGGTCTTCGTCAAACTCCGGGTCAATGTAGAAGAAGACCGGCATGTCGACCTCCTCGTGAGGGTTCAGACGCTGCTCCTCAAAGCAGAAACACTGCAATGAGAAAAGAGTTGTGCTCTCACCTTCATATTTCTATGTATTCATTGTTTTTTCAGTAATTCACCATTATTGTGAGGAACATGTTTATTTTGGGCTTTGTAAAACTAAAACAAGCAAAGATTCAGAAACATAAGATTGTACTTCTGACCCTGAATTTGTTCAGAGTCAGATTTAAAGAACCGCTGATGTGAAAAATTCGGTCTCTTCAGAAATTTTTTCCTGTAATAAAAACATGTGAACGTAAGATTAAAGTCCCCTCCACCTGTCTGACGATCGTTACGCTTCCAGACGAGAAGACGAAATGCTTCCTGTTGGACTTTCGCTCATATCTCCAGACCGGTCACTGACCTCCATCATGGCTTTGCCGTGGATTTATTTCTCACTAAAACATCTTCTCAAACCTTTACATGATGCTTCTCACCACAGTCTGCATTCTTATTGCTGCTTTTAAAAGTTTCTGCTCTGTCAGTAGACTCATCTAGTAAACCTCAGAGGGAAAAAGCTGCACTCACGTCACATCCCCTCAATAATGTCCACATTTGAACCCATTCGTTGATATTTTACACAATCTCAGTGAGATGTTAGTCTGATCTAACCAACACCTCCACCTGCTGCAGGTGTGTCCCTATAGCTGCACCTGAAACTCACCTGGATCTTGTTAAAGTACTGTCCAGCCTCGAAGGGCACCACGTTGTATGTGGAAATGCCAATGATGGGTTTATCAGTGGAGTTCTTTGCTTTGTAGAAGGCCAGCGCCGTCTCACCTGGTACCACCTGCATCAGGAGGTTGTTACTAAGCAATGTTCAGAAAGTTTCTGTAAACTTAAGAAGGAGAAAAAAACTCTTACAAGTATCTCTGTCTGCTGTGGTTTGAAGTTCCACTGGATGCTGGCGTGTGTGTCAGCATTAAACGCCACCTTGATGATGCGTTCCTTTACTGGCTTCATGGTTTCCACCAGATCTGTGTTATGTTCAGCTACAGCAGTCCCACCCAGCCCTGTTGCCTGGCAGACAAGTAGAGTGGTGGAAGAGCACAGCTGCTGGTGTGTGTGAGTGTGTGAGAGAGAAAGAGAGGCTCACCTGGCAGTAGAGACGATAGAGCGGCACTGCAGCGTACGACAGGCCGATCATTCCCACCCCAGCAGCAGCAATATACATCAGCACGGTCTTGTTCCTCCTCCTCCACTCCTCATCCAGACCTCCTGACTTCCTGCTTCTGCTCCGTGTTTGGAGGTGAGATGGAGGCCGCCGCTGTAGAAAGAGCTCAGCCTGGAAGCGCAGTCCCCGAATAGAGCTGCTGGGCAGTGTCCTGATAAATCTACTTAGGAGCGGTGAGGTCAAAGGGCAGCAGAGAGATGGCCTCAGCATGAGTGGCAGCAGCAGCAGCATCACACCTAAAAAACTCACCTGTAGGACAAACAGAACAGGAAGTCTACTGTCAACATGAACTTTAGAGGAAACCTTGTTTATTTAGAAAAGTTAGAATTTAATATTGATGGAGAAATTTACCGAGAGTGCAATTTGTGATGATCACAATCTTAACGTCAATGTATCCAACGATCCTAAACTCATTACCAGGATGAATGAAAACACACAGGAACTCTATCAGTCATAGACCTGCTCTGCAGCGTCGTCTTCACAGAGAATCGGATAAAAGTAGTAATCATCTAACAATAATAGAATCAGTCATTTGATTTCTACAAAAATAAATAGAAAAGAGGCTAATTTAAGTGTACAGTGTTTTTTTTTCCCGGACCTCGCTGCTCTGGGCATGCTGGAGTAGCTCTGTTGACTATATGTAACTTTTGCCTTTTCTTGGGCATTTTTTCTTCTAGTTTCTCAAGAAAAACTGTATTTTTTTGGACACTTTACTTTTCTGTTTCTGGTGCTGTCAAGCTTGGAGGATTTTTACTGCTATTTTTTTAGCTTTTTTCACTTTTTGAGCATTTGTTATGATGCGTAACCATGGCAACAAGCTGGTTTACAATCAGGAGCAGCTGATTAACATTGGAAAGGCTGAAATAATACCTCAACTGAAGCCACAAATCCCAAATGAGCTAACACGCAAGAAGCGTGGGTGCAGAGCGGGAGCAAAACGGAGACAGAGAAAGAGGAAATTCAAACCATCTCTTCCATCGATCATAATAGGCAATGTGAGATCACTGGACGACAAGATGGAGGAACTCCAAGCCCTTTCAAGAACTCAGCCAGAGTTTTGGCAGTTTCTGAACCACTGGAGGAGATAATGCAAAGAGATTCTCCAGAGAATCAAGAAAATGATGGACAACCCTGAGCGTTCTCTTCACAAGACTGTCCGACAACGGAAGAGTGTCTTCAGTCAGAGGCTTCTTCAGTTTTGCTGCAACTCTGACCGCTACTGGAGATCCTTCCTGCCAACAGCCATTGTAATATACAACAACTCTTTGATGACTTGATTATTATTATTCTGAGCTACTACAGCAATAAATTTCCCTCTGGGATTAATAAAGTATTTTTGAATTGAAGAACGAAGGTGTGAAACCAAACCTTTCCAGTGTTTTAAGATTGTTACAAACCACGTTTTTACAGTATTTGTATTAATTCCTTTTCATCTTTCCAATCAAAGAAATTACAATATCACTATTCAGTGAAAATAAGAATTTGATAGTCATTACAAAAAGCTTTGTGTATTGGTGGGATCTTTTAAAACCGAATTCTTTATACGATGGAACAGAACGCTACTCTGGTGACACAAAAACAAAAATATACCGGTGAGGTGTAATCCAACAACATTAACGCAACGATTTGATTTATGGGAGCTGACCTGGGGTCATTTTCAGGAGTCTCGTGTGTTTTATTGTCACTTTTCTGACCTGCGAAAATAACTCATTATAAACAAACACCGAAAAAACAACTAATCACGAACACGGTTCGATTCGGATGGTAAAGTATACTAATGATGTTTTACCTAATGATGAGGTGCTCCACAGCCAACAGTTAATTAAACACTCAGCAGTGTAACATATTATACGGTCCCTCTCCGTGAGGAAGGTTCCGCGAAAAAAGTTCCGCTCTGTAGTCTTCTTCTTGACGACACAACGAGGCTCTTTACTGCCACCTATAGGTATAGTGAACAAACTTGTCTGATCAGTGAGTAAAATGAGAAAGTTAATAAAAACATCTGTTCCAACAAGTAGTTCATCCACATCCTGTGTTCTGCTCTTTCTACCAACTCAGCCTTTCTCCTGATTCACTGATTTTTAAAGCAGACCACTGAGTCCACTGATCTCAGGCTCAGGGGGAGAGAGTTCCAGAGTCTGGGGTCTACAGCAGCAAATGATCTGTCACATTTGGTCTTTAGCCTGGTGCGCTGCACAACCAGTAGGCTTTGGTCACTGGACCTCAGGGACCTGCTGGGGGTGTCGGGACTAAGAAGATCACCAATGTAAGATGGTGCTTGTCCATGTAAGGCCCTATAGACCAGAACCAGGATCTTGAAATGAACCCTCAAGTTGACTGGCAGCCAGTGAAGCTGGAGGAGAAGCGGGGTGATGTGGGTGTGTTTGGAGGACTTGGTCAGAAGCCTAGCACAGGCATTCTGAACCACCTGTAGACGGTTCAGGGAGGTTCTGCTCAGACACGTGAATATGCTGAAGAGGAAACACGTAGAGGAGGAAGAGTAAAGGCCCCAGCACCGAACCTTGATGGACACCATGGCTGAGGGAGGTGATGGAGGACTGAAACTGGAGACAGCCACAGAGAAGGAACGCTCAGAGAGATAAGAGGAGAACCACTCCAGAGCAGATCCGTATAGGCCTACCCAGTCTCTCAGCCTCTCCAGTAGCAGGTGATGGTCAACAGTGTCAAAGGCTGCAGTCAGGTCCAGCAGGACCAGAACAGAACAGTCCCCTGCATCACTGTGAGTCAGAAAGTCAGAGCAGTTTCAGTAGAATGAGCTCTACAAAAACCTGACTGGAAACTATCATATATGTTATGTTTATCAAGAGCAGCTGGGCGTTGTTTAGCAACAACCTTTTCCAAAATATTGAGAGGCGCTATATAAAAGATCATTGCTTCTTCTTATAAATATTTTATTATGGTATGCCTATAACAACAACAACAATTATAAGTTATTATTATTATTATTAATAATAGGTAGTAGGAGGAGGAGGAGGTGGTGGAAGAAGATGAGGTGGAGGAGGTGTATACACAAAGATTTTTTCCCTCTTCTTCAACAGAAAACAGCTTTGGTACCTACTGATTTGCTAAATTTCTGCTTGGTCGTTAAAGTCAAAAACAAAATAAACAACTGAGATTCCCTACGGTGGCCGAGAGCAGTCAAACTGCTCCGCTGTAGCAGTAATGGAGGGGGTGACGGTGGGTCAGGTGTTCGATGCCGAATGTATCCTTAGCAAACGACAGAGGAAGGTAAGAATCGAGGCAGCGGTTCGGTCGGACTCCAGTATTTCGCTCCGGTTCTGATTATGTTTGTCTCCACAGGGAAAGTTCGAGTATTTGGTAAAATGGAGCGGCTGGTCCTCCAAGTGAGTAGCCGTTAGCCTCCGAGGCTAACCGAACAAAGCCCGGCGGCGGCTCGGTAGCTGCCGGGACCTGGACACCCGAACCGGGCTGTCTGAACTGGGGCTGGATAAATCCCAGCCGTAGCCTCCGTTGGACCGAGTATAGTAACCGAGCCAGAACCTGAAGAGTGCAGCTCTAAACGATCTCAGGCCACTTGATCGTCCTAGACATCAGATTTGTTTACTTTTAAATTAGAGCTATTTCCTTTAAAATGTAAAAACTGGCCTCAGTGTTTCTAAATATTTCAAATGGAAATCAAACAAATTAAATATAGTTTACCGGAGCTTGAAGCCCAAACGGACTTTCCGTCTTTGTAATAACGATTACAGTATAGTTTTTGTGTGATTATACGGTGCTGATGTTGAAATCAGCCTGAGCTGAAACTTCGTTTTGAATGTGCTGGCTGTTTTCTTAGTATGTCATCTTGTGCAGCTGTAATATTGTGGGTATCTGTCATAGGCTAGATGTTGTTGATTGTTTATCTGTTTTTGTTTGTGGGTCAGATTTTGTTTGTGGTTTCCTTGTGAATTATTGATTTATAACATGAATTATTGCAAATGGATAGTGCAAATCTCCGTTAAATCAGTTAATAAAGGTGATTCATGTTTTCAGACACAACAGCTGGGAACCCGAGGAGAACATTTTGGACCCCAGGCTGCTGGCAGCATTTCATAAGAGGTGAGTGCTGCTGATGTGTCGTAGATTTAAACAACTAGTTCTAACACAACAGAATATTTAAAAAATGTTTGTGGAGACTGGACTCACATTTATAAAATGTATTAATGATAGATCAGTTTTAGTGACGAATGCTATGTTTACTGGTGTGTTAATAGAACATAGACACTCTGAATCAAGGATTTGTTAGATCCAAATATGAACACAAGTTGCAACCACATCTGATTTATCTTTGACTAAATGAATCAGTAGAATTTGTAGCAGTGGTCTTCTATTTCTGTGCTGCAGCTAAAGTTTTCTGTTGATGTTCATTTTTTCAGGGAACAAGAACGAGAGCTTCTGTTTCAGAAGAAAGGGAAGCGTCCACGAGGACGACCTCGAAAGATTGTGGTAAAAACCAAAACCAAGTTCTCTTGCCTTTTTGACTCCATTTACAGATTCGCCTCCACTCATCTGTTTTCATCTTTCCTTCAGCCTCCACCCACCTCCACAAAAGACAGCCGCTCCTCATCTTCCTCATCCGGCCTCTCGTCGTCGCCCTCCTCATCCTCTGAGGAAGAGGAGGATGATGATGATGACGATGATGATCATGTTAAGAAGGTCAGACCGAGCTCTCGTCTTCACCCGGTCCCTCAGAAGAGGCCGCAGATCCTTTTGGCCAAACCTGACCCACCCTATAAGAAGAAGCGTGGGAGGAAACCACTGCACCCGGACCTGAAGGCTTTACGGCAGACGAAGAGTCCATCTCTTCCTCCTCCTCTTTCTCCTCCTCCTCCTCGCCACCATCAGCCGATCAGACTGCCCAGAGACGATCCACGGCTCGGTGTGAAGAAGCCTCTGCAGCCTGCCAGCTTCACCTACACAGGTCTGAGCAGGAGCTCCAGAGACGAGGGATCCTCCACCTCCCAGAGCTCCTCCATCTCCTTCTCTCCGAGTGCCACCTCTAAACCCGGATCCCTCAACTGCGTCTGGATCAACCGCTCCCTGTCTACCTCCTCCCACAACAAAGTCAGTCTTTCACACAAGAGCTCTGAACTGAGGCGATCCATCTCAGAAACAGGAAGCAGCAGATCTTCTCTGAAAGCAGGCGGTGCAGCCTCACCTGGTCTCAGCAGCTTTGGGGGAGGTCCAGCAGCACTGCAGCACCCTCAGATGGGTCAAAGGAGACAGGAAGGAGTGGGGTGTCATGGAGGCCATGTTCAACACAAGCAGCAGAACTCCAGTTTCACCAAACCGTCCTCTTCATCAACATCTCGAGAGAGAACAAATCAGGCGTTAAACCTCCGAGCACTCAACCTGCAGAGCGTCAGCAAGACATCGAACAGCAGCAGCCTGCAAGGGGCCGCGAGCTCACGCACCAGCAGCATCGTCGGGAAAGGATCTGCAGCTGGAGCGCAGCGCTCTAGTCTGACAGCAGGGGGAGCTGCAGAAACAGGACGGCTGGGTAGGCAGGAGGAGCGTAAACATGGGCTGAGCTCTCAGAACCGCAGCCTGAATGAGCTCAGCACCGGTGACTCTGATGACACCAGCAGCAGTGAGTCGGAACGTGACCCCTCACTCTTCCCCAGCGACAGTAGACCAAGCCTCGGTGACAACGCCACCGAGTCAGACACAGAAACGGACTGGAGGCCGGCACGGAGCCTTCTGGAGCACGTCTTCGTCACTGACGTCACGGCCAACTTCATCACGGTGACGGTGAAAGAGTCACCAACCAGCGTGGGGTTTTTCACTTCACGGAACCATTGACTATTTAGACTTTCTGCAGCCACTCAGGGTTCCTACAGCATTGACTAAACACTTAGAAGATCACAATAGCACACATAGTCACATCAGAAAACACACAGCGACAAGTTCGGATTTTAAACCCGTTCACACCTGAAGTCAGAACCAACAGGCTGACTGGTTTATTAATGAGTCCAGAAGCATCTGTCAGCTAAAGTACTCATAAAACTAATTCTGTTTCAAATAACAAATAGTTAAAAATATTTGGTTTGTTTTGGAATCTTAAAACATTCGGCCTTCTCATTTTTAGCCACTGGAGGATTTCTGGTTTTCTCCGAGTGAACATCAGCTCCAGTAGGTGGCACTAGCAGCAATAGAAGGAGCAGAAAAGATGGCATGAGGAATCGCTGGTGCATCCCTCGAAGTTTTAAACTTTGTTCTTGTTAATCTGATGAGAGTGGAGATTTATAAATGTAATTTCCCCCCATATGATTGACTTTTCCTTATTAGCACAATCAAAGCAAACCTCTTTCATTAGACAAGAATTAATTTTATTCTAATATATTTATATATGTTTCTAAAGTTTCAATCATTGGTCTTTAAAATCTTTTAGTCCTGATCGTCTCTGGAGTTCCTGTCGCACCAGCCATGGTCTTTGAGGTTTTAGCGGCTTGTTTTATTTCTGTTACATTGTGATTTTAGTTATACTCACATTCCTGTTTAAGGCCTGGTTTGGCCCTGTTTAAAATCCAGATAGGGTGCTGCTCAAGTCCTGATCCAATCCCGTTTTAGTCCTTATCTGATCCTGTTTTACTCCTGATCTTGTCCTGTTGTAGTCTTGTTCCAATCCCATTTTAGTCCTGATCCAATCCTGTTGTAGTCCTGATCCCATCCTGTTTTATTCCTAATCCAATCCTGTTGTAGTCCTGATCCCATACTGTTGTAGTCCTGATCCTATCCTGTTGTAGTCCTGATCCAATCCCGTTTTAGTCCTGATCCAATCCCGTTTTAGTGCTGATCCAATCCTGTTGTAGTCCTGATCCTATCCTGTTGTAGTCCTGATCCAATCCCGTTTTAGTCCTGATCCAATCCCGTTTTAGTCCTTATCTGATCCTGTTTTACTCCTGATCTTGTCCTGTTGTAGTCTTGTTCCAATCCCATTTTAGTCCTGATCCAATTCTGTTGTAGTCCTGATCCCATACTGTTGTAGTCCTGATCCTATCCTGTTGTAGTCCTGATCCAATCCCGTTTTAGTGCTGATCCAATCCTGTTGTAGTCCGATCCCATACTGTTGTAGTCCTGATCCCGTCCTGTTATAGCCTTGATCGCATCCTGTTTTAGTATTGATTCAAAACTGGATTCTTTTACTAGTTTTAAGATTTTTAGCCAAGCAACATTTGCTTACCACATTGGCAGATTTATTTACTCAAAACAAGAAAGTTGGGTCATATCTAAGAATATTTATCTTATTTTAAGTAACACTTTTTTCCTAGAGATTATTTTTCTTACTACAGATAATACACAATGTCTAAGTTTTTTTTACTTAGAAATCAATGTTTGCAGGTTAAACTTTCTTAAGTTTTCTTGGAGTTTTTGGTTCAACTCTGAAACCATGCTACTCATTGTGACTCAAATAAATCTGAAGAAACTAGAAAAGTTAGAAAACTGGTTTGTTGGAGCTAAAATACTGTTTCTGGCTATCAAACTTTAATTTTTGATTTTAAGCGATCTTAAACAAAATACCAAAGTTTGGCTCCTTAAAAGAAAATTATAAATACATTGGTGTCAAATTATCATCTAACAGGTTCCCTACTCATCTCTCTCTCTCTCTCTCGCTCTCGCTCTCACTCTCTCTCTCTCTCTCTCTCTCTCTCTCTCTCTCTCTCTCTCTCTCTCTCTCTCTCTCTCTCTCTCTCACACACACACACACCTTGCAAGAGAGGATAATGTTCCCACCCCAAAAGTTGTGTAGTAAACTTTTTGTTTATTCCTTTGAAAAACAGTTTTAACGGGAAGCAAATGAAACATGAACATTGGTTTTATGGGTTCCAAGTTCTTCAGAACCAAAACTCTCCATGGTTGTGTTTTTCTCAAAAAAAAAAAAAAAAAACCCTGACCAAGGTGAGACACAAATTAGAAACAGTATTAAGCAGATTATAGTAGAAATGGTAGTTTGTGCAATTTTCTTTCTTTTGTTAGGACTCCTGAATTATTTTATGTTCAAACAAAGGTCTTTTGGCTTCTTTGGGCTTTTTCTCATCAAATGATTGTTCTTATAAATTCCCCAGTAGTTCATTTGAAATGCTCTTTTCAGGACAGATGTCTTCTTAGACCAAAGTTGGCTTACCTGTGAACTCGTCAGGATTTACAGCTTATTGATGTACTGGTGTTCAGTTAAATGAATAAGCTTTCAGCCACATCTTCAGTTGAACCACTTCCATCCGTAATGGAGTTAAATCTTACAAAGTGTTATTCTGTCAGAGTTCAGGCTGTAGAAACCAGGTTTAAGCCTTCAGATGGACGGAACACCTCCTCTCCCGTGCCTCAGGCTCTCTCTGGACTCCTACAACTGGACCTCCACTGCCTCCTCTTCACCTCCTCTGATGTAAACATTCAGAACTTTATCCAGAACCGCATGTGTGAAACAAATATAAGATTAACAAAGTATGTTTGTTTAATCAACCATCCTGTTTGGGTTCTCGGTTTGGACCAAAGGACGGGTTTGTTCTCGTGTTCTCATCTCTTGCACTAAGCACAGTACAAATATCAGCTGATGGAGACGTCTCATCATCACCTCTACTTGCCAGTTTTGTACCATTTGAATACACCATTGTGTTCTGGAGTTGAATATATGTTAAATTATATTTGTAAATATGTTTTTTTCATAATGTGATATCTGATATCTATCTGGTGCTCATATTCCTGATCCGCCTCAGATCGTGTGTGCCTCTGCCGTTAGAAGGATTTGGAAATAAAGCTGAAGTTAAAAAGGAGTGTGCTCATGTTGTTCATGAATTTACCAGCAGATGTCTCTGTTCTGACAACCAACACAAGCCTGGGGGAGCTTCTGCCATGTGGTGGATACGCTAATGCTAACAATTAGCATCCTCTTGTTTCTTGGACGCTAAAACAACAACAGCCTTCCCCGTCGTGAGTCAAGATGTGTCCATAAATGTTAAGTGGCAGTGTGGTGTCACACAAATCCTACAGTTTCACAGTATTTTCTATCAGCTAATACAGGAGACAGGTGTAGGCGACTAATCATGTTCAGTGCATGAAAAACTCAGAGAGACAGATTATAATACAAAATAAAAAATTAAAATGTTTTTACACAACTTTTAAACAAAATGCATGTGTTCAGTAAAGGGATGGAGCAGTAATTGTTTACGATGGCAAATAAGTGTATCTACATTTGTTGTGTTTTTAAACTGAGGCTGCCAAATGTGGGTACCTGTTTGATTCACATCTATTGAAGAAACTCTGAAACTTTGGCTGAAACTTCAAACAATCCACTCACAAGGCCGACTATCTTGAAGTATTTTTTCCCAAACTGAAGGAATGTTGCTGATACTTAGATGTGCATTTGTTATTTGATTGCATAAAATCATGGTGTGTGTGTGAAGCTGCTGTTTATCAGTGTTAACTCATCTGGTTATGGATGGAGTTTGGTTTGGTTCTGACATTTATGGGATGATGAATCAACTTTGCTGGCTGTCAAGTAACTGTAGAAGCGTCAGCACACCTTCAGTGTTCACCTGATGTTTTCTTCTTCTCTTCTTCTTCTTCAGCTTCAACGATCAGAGACCAGAATTGCTGAGGTTCAGAATAATATGAGTTAAATTTTAGATCTATAATGTATTTGATTGTTGCTGGTGTTCAGTGGAGCTGCTGTTAGTATTTTACATTAATCACATTGATTTAAAGTTTATTAGGTTATTGTGCACAACAGTTTGTTTCACTGAAACTCCAAAGTTGGATTCAATGAACTCCCTCACTGTGGCATGTTCACCAATAGTCCTGGGTGAGTGAGACTGGACTGTAAAATCTGTGTAATCAAAACGTTCAGGAATCCACTAACCATGTCAATCAAACGACCAGAGGATGCTATAACATCATTGCCATGGTAACAGCAGCCCCCAGCCTCTTCAGGTGACTGAAACATCATCATGTATAACAGAAGCTTACATCCATTAAAGCTGCAGGTCTGCTCAGTGGTCCAAACCGAGACGAGATGGTGGAATTTCCCCAAAATAAGTCGAGTAAACAGTCAACAGAGGGGCCCTCACATCTCGGTGCCCAAGCAAACACTGAACAGTGTGGGGCAGTGTGACACCACAACCTGCAGGGATGGGGATCCATGCAATCTGCTGCCCCCTGGTGGCCGGATTAGCTGTGCGTGTGAATGCGTGTGCAAACAATAATATAACTGTTTAAATCACAACGTGTACAAGTTGTTTTCCGGTTACTCTGTATTACAAACAGAAAATGTTGCCCAAAGGGTCACTCAGGTTGGATGAGAAGTAGTAGGTGATCTCCTGAAAGGAGGAGCTTTTTCTTTATTTTCTGCATTTATGGAAATTAGATCTGCAGTCAGAGTAAAAAGATAAAAATAACAGAACAGAGTATCAGTATAAGTGTGGCTGAAACAGGAATTCCAGCAGCAGACCGGTCCAGAACTTAACGTTGTAATGGGAGTCAAATGTAGCCTTTGGATGTCCTTGGAACAAAAGTGGTCATGAAGGCAGATGTTTCTAAAATCTCTGTTGGACATCAGAACACTGATCCAAGGACATATAGGACCAGGGTTTTGGACCTGTGGCCACATGGCATCCAACAGAGATCTGATTGAATCCACTGTCCATCCCAAATAGAGCCAGAGATGTTAAAACCCCCACTTAACCTGTTCTTCCAGATCAGTGTTAATTTTGACAGGAAATTTGAATTTTATTTTAGTCTTAGTCTTTTGGCTAAAACTTAATTTTAGTCTTAGTCCAATTTTAGTCATTAGATTTATTTTAGTTTTAGTCCAATTTTAGTCGATGAAAATAAGCAATTTTAGTCAACAAAATGCATATATTTTTTCTAATGAAGTAATTTCCTATTTTTGTGTAGAGCACGGAAAAACTAGTGTAATTTAATACACAGGGTCCAAACTCTTAACCACCACTGATCAGATATAGCACACACAGCTAAGAACATAGAATATTTGAATAAAAAAACACTTCACATGTTTAACACTTACGTGTTTAATAAAAAACAAAAAGCACACTGGAAATTACAAAGGTGCTCTTTTTAGCAATTGCACAACAAGAGTTTACAAGAACAGCAAATTTAAACATGTTAACCCTGAGTCTGTAGATATTCACTTGTTACAACACAGGCTCAACCAAACAGTGTGAATATTTATTTGCTGCGATTCATTTTGAGAAAAGCACTTTGTGCTAGTGTGACCTTTGCTCGGTTGCGTTTCCCTCTAGTGAGGTCACCTGTGATACTGAACACTCTTTCTGCAAAAGATTGAGAAGCTGGCATTGCCAATATATTGAATGCTAATGGTTTCAGGCTGTGTCACATTTTCCAAGCCAAAACTCCTTTCCCGTTTCACAAGTGATGGACTGTGAGAGCTCTTCCTTATACTGGCTTATCTGCTGTCTTAACACTACACTTGGAAGACTTTGTTTTAGGCTTTGCTCCGAATTTGGAGAGAAACCTAAAGACTGGTTGTCTGGAGGAGGAGGAGGAGGAGGCAGATGATGAAGAGGAGGCGGCAGCGGCGGGTGGTGCCGGTTCAGGTCCATTCAGTTCCTCCAGATCAGAGTGGTTCTCCTGTGTCTGAGAGCACCGAACAACATACCCTTCTGCCTGCTTGAGCAGCTCCTGAATGTTATCATCAGCCACATTGAGGAGGGTCTGACACACAGTAGAATTGAGAAAGCAAGCAGCTGCTACAAGTGGGGAAAACTTGTCATCTGAGGGATCAAGTACCCAGGCAAAGCGCTGGTTCACATTCCCTTCCATTTTACGTGCTAGAGCAGCAACATCTCGACGTGTGTTTTGTTCCACATCTGCCAGATGGCTGAGTAAATCAAAGAGAGCAGGGAGTATTAATGACATAGACATTGTGTCACTCTGAAGAGTTTGTGTGTGTTCAGCAAAAGGCTGCAAAAGTTCTTGCATTGACTTCAGCTTCTGCCACTCACTTGAGAGCAAGCAGTCCCATCCCATCTCGTTTGCTACTTCACAAACAGATTCTTTAACTTTGAGGAGACGTGCAACCATTTCATAAGTACTTGACCATGGGGCAGTCATTCACAACAGATAGGCCGCACTCATCCAAAATCTTCTGTGTTGCGACTGATGACTTGCGAAAGTTTCACGATTGATCGGACTTTGTTCAAGACTCTGTTGATGCTTTCCTCCTTGTTTATCATGTGGACAACAAGCTGCAGCGTATGGACGACACATGGCATCCTGTCCATGCCTAGGTCTTGACACTGCAGGTTTTCTGTCTCTTTGGAATCACTTTCACTTAGTTTTGGTAGCAATGTTATCATAAGAAAAATGACTCCACAACACATCTTCTCTTCTTTTTTGCCCAGCAGTTAACATTTTCCTCTACTCCTTCTTCTTATGCCGTCGATATATTCAGTGAGCTATGTTTAGCATGCCGCGCATACCTGCCCCTTTATACTATTCGGGATCTGTCTTCGCTCACGTCCCGCACATTCACGGCACGCCACGCCCCTTGTCTTCTACTACGTTCGCGTCTCACAACAACACAATAGGCGCACACCGTACCATAGAGCGCCATGTAGAAGAGCGTCATCGTGGATTTTCGTCTCGTCTTTCATTCGTTGACTAAAAGTTTCAATCAATTTAATTATCGTCTTCGTCTTTTTCCAAGCTTTTATTTTGAAAATTTGTTTCATTTTTTGTCTGTAAATATATTTTCGTGACGAAAAAAAAGACGAAAATATTTTGTCAACAAAATTAACACTGTTCCAGATTCAATGTTTGATTATTTTCTGCTAAAGAGAAAGCTCCAACTATCTGCGATTGTTCCTTGTTTTAATCACTTTGAAGATTTTTTTAAAATTTAGTGTCAAACTGGATCCTCTGAACATTTAGAGGCTCAGACTCAAAACACTCGCAGAACAAATGGTTGTGGTTACAACTAGAAACAAACAAAGCATGAAATATTCTGGTTTTAGACATTAATTAAGTAAATAAAAACACACTGTTGACACCACAAAGTTCTGCAGTAAAATCTAGAACCTAACCACAGCCATCATATGTGAAACTCGAAAAACTAGAATATCATCCTGAAGTCCATACATGTCAGTAATTAAGCTCAGACTGAGAGACCATAGGCTCAGGAACCCTTTGCAGGTTTTGGTTTCATTAGCTAATGGTGCGACACTTTGAGCCGAGAACTGGGGCAACAGGTGGCAGAGGAGCTGAGCGTTCACCTCGGAACTGGGGGGTTGCGTGATCACACCCCTTCAGTCTGTCGCAGTCATTGTGCTCTTGGGCAAGACGCTTCACCCGCACTGCCTGCTGGTGGTCGTCGGACTTGAAGGGACCGGTGGTGCCAGTGCTCAGCAGCTTCACCTCTGTCAGTAAACCCCAGGACAGCTGTGGCTACAGTGTAGATCATCAGTGTCAGTGTGTGTATGTGTGAATGGCTGGATGTGTTGTAAAGCACCTTGGGGGGTCATAGCACCCTAGAGGGTCCTAAACTAATACAGGCCAATTTTAAATGTTTAACCTTTTCTTAATATTCTAATTGTCTGAGATTTTGTATGTTCATGAGTTGTAAGCCATAATCATCACAATTATGATGTTTGACGTATCTGACGTTGTGTGTAATGAGTGTCTCATTGTATAATTACTGAAAAAAAAACCTTTTGCATGATATTCTAATGTGTACAGTTTGACCTGAGTATCTGAGGAGGAACATCTGCTGATGAGGAGTTTCTGACCAAAACACCAA